CTCCTTAGAGGCCAGGATGGCAAGATTTGGTCTTACATTTGTCTATTGTCAAAGATTTTGACACTATTTTGGACACATTGTCAGGACAGACCAGTCCTTGTATAAGGATACCATGCTTGGAGGGCAGTGAAAAAGAGGTAGGCCCTCAATGAGATGAATTGATTTCAGTGGGTGCCTAATAGTTTCTTAGGCATAGAAACAATTGTGAGGATGGTACAGGGCCTTGCCAGGTTTCATTCCCTTGTGCATAGGGTTGCTATGGGTTAGAGCCGACTCAATGTCACCTAACACTATCTTTACTTCATCCTTCAGATGTAAAGCCCAAGTCCGGTTGATTCTTCTTTCACAGTATCTTACAAGCCTCTCTCTGCCTAAACCATCTTAGTTTAAGGCCCTGTCACATGATGCCTTGGCTGCTTGCAGAAACTTGAGGAATGCATCTTCTCTCGCCTGTACATAGTCAGAGACAGGCCTGGTATATTTCTACTTCTCCTTCAAGGTTTGGGTTGGAGTTGTCATTCTCTATGAATGCTCCCCTGTGCATGATTCTATTCTATTATTTATCATATAATACTACAGAGTGCTGCAATTACTCTTTTGCTCACTTGTATATCTCACCCACTTATACAATAGCAACGATTGTGCTTAAATTTTTCTGCCCCACTCTTCTCCTAATTGGGCCATTTTTTTAACAATAACTGTGTGGTATTTTGTGCTTTTGAGTTACAATTTTTTTTATTAACTCCGTAGAGTGGACGGAGGGAGGAATATATTTTATTTGGAAATCTAGGTACTATGATGCAGGAACCAAGATAATGGTCTAAAGAAGTGAAGTGTGGCAATGACCGTGAGGGAAGTTATTGTTAGGTGCCATCAAGTCTACTCAGACCCATAGCCACCCTATGTGTAACAGAACAAAACCCTGCACAGTCCTGCACCACCCTCACCATTGTTCCTGTATCTAAACCCATTGATGCAGCCAATGTGCTAATCCATCTCATCGATGACCTTCCTCTTTTTTGATGCCCTACCTCTTTACCAAGCACAGTGTCCTTCTTCAGGGACTGGTCTCTCCTAACAGTATGTCCAAAGTATGTCAGATGACGTCTCGCCATCCTTGTCTATAAGGAGCACTCTGACCTTAGTTCTTCCAATACAGATCTGTTTCTTCTTTTAGCAGTCCATGGTACTTTCTTTTTTTAAAATCATTTTATTGGGGCTCATACAACTCTATCCCAATCCATACATATATAAATTGTGCAAAGCACACTTATACATTTGTTGCCCTCATCATTCTCAAAATTCGCTTTCTGCTTGGGTTCCTGGAGTCAGCTCCTCATTTTCCTTTTTCCCCTTTCCTTCTCTCCCCCTCCCCCCTCCTCCCTCCCTCATGAACCCTTACTAATTTATAAATTATTATTTTATCTTATCTTACACTGCCCGGCATCTCCCTTCACCCACTTCCCCACTGCCCATCCCCCAGAGAGGAGGTTACATGTAGATCCCTGTGATCAATTCCCCCTTTCTAGCCCTCTTTCCCTCCCGGTATCGTCACTCTCACGGCTGGTCCCGAGGGGCTCATCTGTCCTGGATTCCCTGTTTCTGTTCCCATCTGTACCGTTGTGCATCCTCTGGTCTAACCAGGTTTGCAAGGTAGAATTGGGATCCTGCTAGTTGGGGGGAGGAAGCGTTTAAGAACTAGAGGAAGGTTGTGAGTTTCATTATTGCTATACTGAACCCTGAGTGACCCATCTCCTCCCCACTACTCCTCTGCAAGGGATGTCTAGTTGTCTACAGACGGGCATTGGGTTCCCATCACACGCTCCCCTTATTCACGATGATATGACCATGGTACTTTCAATATTCTTCTCCAGCATCACAATTCAAATGCAGGCTAAGAGCAGACAGTGAAGGAGAACTTGGCTCCCCACTTCGGAGGAAGAAGCAGATGAAAACCTTTTTGCTAGGGGAGTAGAATCTATTAAAAGGATACCCCAAAATATAAAAAAGAGTGTGGGGGATCATGACTTCTAGACTAACAATTTACAAGTTGCTAGAGAAGCAAAAAAAAAAAAAAGGTGGTGGGCAGATCAAAGCTGTACACTAGGCAGAAAGGGAAAGCAGAGTCTTTAAAACAAAGGAGGTGGTAGAAGCAGTCTGGTGGGACTGGAGGAGAGCCCAAAAAAGGCCCAGACCAGAGAACGGTGACTTCAAAGATTAAAGGGTTTACTTGACAATAGAGTGTGTATGACTAAGATTCTTGATAGGTGGTTTTTATTTTAGCCAACAGTAGGGACTGAAAGATTAAATCACTATCTGGATGCAGTTTATTATTCTATTACGGTAAATATCTCCCCAGGATTTCCTTACCTTTCTATCAAATACTAGCAAACACCGGATGGTCTGCAAGTGTGTTGGAGGGCAGCTAAAAGGGTGGGGTGATTAGGGTAGGGTTCAAGCAGAAGAGGAAGTGAGGGAGGCTGGGACTCAGTGCTCAGCCCCTGTAGGCAGATACTTCCTCCACTTCTGCTGACTAGTGTCAAGATGCAGGAAACTTAGGTTTTAAACAGCTCAGTGGGGCCCTAATCTTATTTGGTCAACTCCTCTATACTTCTTCCCAAAAGTTAGTTTAGTTGTACTATTCATCTTATAAGGCAGAGTTCAGGAAAATTAGGACAAATGTAGTAATATTTTGGTGTATAGGTACTTGCTTATGTTTGTTGAATGGATTCATGAATCAATAGGATAATCAGCAGGTGCAGTGTTTTGTAAACTGCACAGCACTATGCAAATGTAAAATTTTCTTACTCTCTTTCCCATTAGTACAAGGCTTAGCTAAGGGCCTACTTCTTGCTTCCTATTCTAAGTGCTTCCTTCCACATTTTCAGCTTGTATTATGCTTACTGTCAGTACCGATATTATGGTGCTTAGTATTCTATTACTTGTATTGAATTTTAAAAGTAGTTTTATTGGCATATACTTCACGTATGCAATTTAATTCTTGAATCATATTAAGAAGATTTGTACAATCATCACCACAATCAATTTCAGAACATTTTCTTCTTGTACTCATTGTTGTTAGCTCCCTGACCTTCCTCCCTTATCCCCTACCCTGCCCTAGGCAATTATCAATCTAGTTATTGTCTAGAAATCTACCTACCCTGGACTTCACATATAGAAAATCATACAAAACACAAACAGGAATCAAACAAGCTAACAAACAAAATCAACAACAATGACTAGACAAAATAAAAGTACCTCAATAGAAAAGAAAGCATAAACAACTTTAAAATGGGTCAAAAGGGAGATCAAGTGATTACATTTTAAGCTAACTACATCTGCCACAATCAACTTTATAGTGCTCTCTGTCTGATAGCAAGGCTACTCTATCCCTGACTATAGTCAGAGGGGATTCACTGGAATCTTAACCTATGTGGGGACCCTGCAAATGAATTTTGGGCTTCCACTGTCATCCATACCCTTCTGCAAACTGGGTGTTTACAATTTAAGCTGATACCAATTCTTCCTTCAGAGTTGGATTTTAGTATTTGTTATCCTTAGATCACATAGGCTGGTGTGCTTCTTCCATGTGGACTAAGTTGATGCCTCAGTTTAGATGATTGCTTGTTTTAAAACAAGCCTTTGAGACCCCAGATGCTGTTCTTTCTGATAGCCAGGCACTATCTGGTGTCTTCATCACATTTTGCTATAGCATCCATGTGTTAGTCTGGGTAGACTAGAGAAACAAATCCATGGACACACACATATGTGTATAAGGAAGAGGTTTATATACAAGAGCAATGTACACTAAGAAAACATTCCAACCCAGTCCAGTCCAAGGCCATAAGTCTGATATTAGCCCATATGTCGGATACCAATCTATAAACTCCTCTTCAGACTCATGAAACACATGCAATGAAGCCAAATGCAGGACGATCACAAGCCAGTGGGTAGAGAGTTGTTAGGTCCAGTGGCGTTGTAAGCATCTCAGTGCTGGCAGGGTCTCTCTGTGGCTTCTCCGGCTTCAGAGGTCTGTTTGCATATGTGGCTTGTCCAGCTCAGGGCACTAGGGTAGTTTCATGTGTCTTGTTAGCTGCAATGTCTCCCAGGGAGTGAAGTAGTGAGAGAGTGTCTCTCCTGCCTCCAAGGAGGAAAAATCGGATTTCCCAGAATTCTCAGGAGAAGGCACGCCCACACAGAGGTCTCATTGGCTATCTCCAGATTGATAGGCTAGACTCCACCCCTATACTTTTAATCCTCAAATTGACACCAGATTAGGTGACTACCACAATCCATATCTTCAGTGATCTCTTGTTTCAAATTTAACAGTACTTTTTTGGTGAAAAAATATATACATAAAAGCACATACCTTTCCAACAGTTTTTACATGAGCAGTTCAATGACAAATGTTAGGTACATTACAAATGTCACCATCCTCACTGTCTTCAATTATATGGATTCACCACCAATAACTTAGACTTTCTGTCCCTTATAATTCTTTTTTGTGTGAATATTAGCATCTTAACCCAAGATGCAGTTTTATTTACGTTAAGTATAAATATTTACTTTAAAAAAGCAGCTCTTTAAAAACCAGAGTTGGAACATTTTCATACACTTAATATGTTGTGATTTCCCCAAACCTTTTTAGCCTAGCTCATGCCTTCAATTTTTAAGCTTCAGAATTCCCACATGGTCAAAAAGAAGACCTAATACCTTATCTTGACCAATTCCAGGAGAATAGAAGAAAAAGGAGAAAAGTTATTCAGTGTTAGCTGGTTGTAGAAGGGGAAGGTAACACGTTAAAAGTGTGTTGGCAGGAGGCAGACCATGACTAATAAGGCTCCACTTGATGAACACAAAGTCCTGGGTTCCCTTATTTCTTCTAGTACAAAAGCAGGTCACACTTTGCAGTCACAGGATCCTGGAGACCAAATCAAACAGATCATCAACCAAGAGTCTTGAGGTCTTCTCTCAGTCAAGGCAGCAGGTGACAATGTACTTCATTTCCCAGACTCCTCTGGGGAATTCAAGAGTATTTTTCGCATCACATCACCATGCTCCCTGCTCCTGGTCCTTGTTTCCACGTACTCAGTTTTCAGGCATTTTCTCATCTCCCGATTAAGATCATTGCAATGACCACAAAAGTTCAGAACGCTGTGATTTTTGTGGCATTCCTTTAGCAAGGTCATCAAGGTGTTGCATTCTTTAGTGTGCAGGTTTGGAGACAAGTCAGGATGCATCTTTAGAAGATGAAGGATCACAGCAGAACAACCCACTTGCTGCCACCACGGGAGGCCTGGAGCGGGGTCCCTTGGAGGTGCACGAATGGGAACTGTCCCTTATAATTCTTATCTGTGTTGTAGGGTTACTGTTGTAATATTATCTCATATGTGTTAAAGATAATTATTTACAAGAGCACAATACTCAAGGGAAACTGTTTTTTAATTAATTGAGCTAAACTCTCATTTGGCTTAAAAATGACTTTATACAATAGTATTAGTTCTCTTGTTTCCAGCCAAAAGGGTCACATGCATTCAATGGATCCAGTTAACCTGGTTTCCATGAGAATTGGATGTTCTGTTTTACATTTCTTCTCCTTTTGATAAGAATTTATTTATTGGGTCCTAAACCACAATGTCCAGTTATAGCAGCCAGACACTATCAATTTCTTCTCGTATCATGATAATGGAGACAGTTGTTCATGGGTGTAATGACCATTTCCTTCTCCAATTCCTGAATCTCCTTCTTCCACTGTTAACTCCAGGTGGCCTGTCACAAGACTTTAAGACTCCTGGAACTATTCATTGCACTAAGAAGTAATACCAACATTCTTATTGCAGATTCCATCTCGTAGCTACCCCAGCGGACAGGGCAGAAGTGCCCCAGTGGGTTTCTGAGACTGTAACTCTGTACAGGAGTAGACACTCTCTTCTTTCTCACATGGAATGTCTGATGGGTTTGAACTGCTGATAGTATGATTAGCAGTTTAGTGCATAGCCAACTATACTACCAGTGTTCCTGGTAGTAGAGACTTTACAGATAATATTGGGCCATTTGACTTCATAGATCTATGAAACCATGACCCTAATCCCTTGAACCTATCAAACCAGTTCCATGAGGTGTTTAGTTGTACCTAATCTGTATCAGCAACTGTTGCCTTATTATTTTTGGTTAAGTTTGCTTTTAATTATCGAAGTTTATATTTGCCAATTAACCCCTCCTCTTTTTCTTGTATACAGCTAGCTTAGTGATATCAGTTAAATAAGTTACAGTAGCTGTATACTTTTAGTCAATGTTAAATTTCCTATCATCATGGAAAAAAATTCACTACTTTTCAAATAGTGATTTCACTTTCTCCCTACCTCCTCCCACCCCTGGTAACCATTGCTTCTATATATTTATCTATTCTTGTCATTTAATGTGAGAAAATACAATATCTATTCTTTTATGAAGGAGCCCTGGTGGTGTAGTGGTTAAGTCTTGGGCTGCTAACTGCAAGACCAGCAATTCCAAACTACCGGTTGCTCTGTGGGAGAAAGAGGAGGCTTTCTAATCCTGTAAAGATTTACAGTTTTGGAAACCAACAGGGACAGTTCTACCCTGTCCTAGAGTCAGAATTGATTTGATGGCAGTGAGTTTTTGTTTGATTCTGTTATGATTGACTTATTTCACTCAGCATAATATCTTTGTGTTTTGTTTAAGGCTGAGTAGTATTCCATAATATGTATCATATTTTGTTTATCCATTTGTCTGTTGTTGGAAACTTGGGTTGTTTCCACCTTTTTGCTATCATGAATAGTGCTGCAATAGAGGCCCAGCTGAATGAGCTGAACCCTACCTCGAAGCTGCCTGCACCCTGGGACTGAGGGCTGGGATAAGTGGATGGGAGAGGAAGCAGAGAGTGGCCGCCCCAGGATTGGGGAAATGGCGGTAGCTGAACCTTGGGGGGAACCCCCGACTTGGTGGGTGTCCAGTGGAAGGAGACCCAGCATCGCCATATATGTAGTGCCTCAGTCTCCACCCTGCAGTGACTTGACAGGTTGGGATCTGTTGAACAGGGATCTACAATTGGGGGAGTTGGCCCAGAAAGGCTCCTACTGCCATCAACAGAGCCCAAGATAATGAGAGTGCAAACTGTGTAGGACAAAAACTCATGAGTTGCAGCTCAAGGTCAAACTGAACTGGCATAGACTCCTCATACTGACAGTGTTTGAAATGCTGGGTCATTGGGAAAATTGATTATAATAATAGTCAATCGACTTATAACCCACGGGGGTGATTGGCAATGCTGTACTTCTTAGTTTATATGAGTTTTTGCTTTCCTACTTGTAGCTTGCTTTTTTTGGTGATTTTGTTTTTTCTTTCTTTTTGTTTCGGGTGTGTGTGTTCTGTTTGTTTGGTTGCTGATTGGCTTACTGCTGCTATCATTGCAGTTGATATTATAGGGTTGTAATTTTGTCATATTATGACTTCCAAAGTAAATCTGAGTTATGCAATATTCTAGGGACAAGTCTGGGATACTACTTAAGTCTATCCCCAATTCAAGAACACTAGTTCTGATAACACAGCCCTGCTGGATACTCACCTTCATGAAATAATCACTGAAGATAAGGGTGCTACAGCAAAGTGTGGTGAAGAAAGTAGATGGTGCCTGGCTATCAATCGGAAGAGTGTCTTGGGTCTTAAAAGCTTGTATTCAAGCAAGCAGCCATCTAAGCAAGGAGTCAACTAAGTCCACACAGAAGAAGCACATCAGCTTGTGTGACCGAAACATGACAATTAAAAAAATTGAATATGGTGAAGGAAAAGTATCAGAGCTAAAGTTATGAACACCTAATTTGTAGAAGACTGTATAGGACAGTGGGATCCCAAAACCCATCTGCAGAGTATCTGGTCAGACTGAGCTGCTGGCAGATTCACTCTAGCCATAGGCAAGAGTCACAAACAGCCTTACTCTCAGGCAGAGACCATTGTAATCTTGAATATGCTGAATCAAACTCGATACTTGGTCAGCTGATATCCCTATAGACCTTACTTGAGTTTGTTCTGTGTGCAAGTATCTCTTACTTGTTCTATGACAGAATTTCCCCTGGTTTTAAGAATATTGACGAGGGTCTTTTCTTTTTCACTCATTATTTGTATTTTGGTCTTTATATTATTATTATTTTATCCATACCACCTTATTTCAAATTTGCTTTTTATTGTTTCTGTTGGGTTTCCCAGTTTGTGACCCACAGGTAGGAGTGGTTGCATAGTGATAATAACTGATACAGGGGTTGATGGGAGATGCAAGGGTAGGGAGTGGGCTATAGGGAGAGAAGGGGGATTTCAGGAGTGGAAAATTAAGACGGGAGTGGGGAGGGAGTACTAGAACTTACTGTGATTGCACAACTCACTTTAAATGTGATTTAACTGTGTGTGTTCTAAAATTGATATGTTAATGATTGTACAATTCTCCTTGATATTATTGAACAATTGGACGATTGAAGTGCATGCTATGTGAATTATGTGCCAATAAAACTGTTAAAAATAGTGCTGCAATAAACATCACTGTACATGTCAGTTCATGTCACTGCTTTTAGGTCTATAGTGCACATACCTAACGGTGGTTATATGGTAGCTATATTTCTAATTTTTTTTTAGGAATCATTATATTGTTTTTTCACAATGATTGTACCATTTTGCATTCCTATCAGCAGTGGATGAGGGTTCCAGTCGCTATATCCTTGGAACATTTGTTATTTTCTATTTTCTTGACCATTGCCATTCTAACAAGGGGTGAGGTAGTATCTCATTGGGGTTTTGATTTGCATCTCTATAATGCTAATGACAATGAGTATTGGTGGCAGAACAGATAAATGCTCAGCTGCCAACCAAAAGGTTGGCAGTTTGAACTCTTAAGGTCCTTTACAGGTTAGACCTGGTGATCTGTTTTTGTAGAGAGTATAGCCAAGAAAATCCTATGGGAAAGTTTTACTCTGTCATATGGGGTCACTGTGAGTCAGAATGGGCTCATTGACACTCAACAATGAACAGCAATGACGAATAAGCCCCTCTCTTCATGTGTTTATTGGTCGCTTGAACATACTCTGTTGTAAATCTCTTTTTGTTTTTTTTGCCTTTTTTTTTTTTTTTTTGCTTTTTTTTTTCTGTTTTGTAAGTTTTATATATATATATTTTATAGTAAACCCTTATAGGATGTATGGATCACAAAAATTTTTCCACCAACCTTTAGGTTGTCTTTTTATTCTTTTGATAAATCCTTAAAATTTTTTTTTCATGAGTTGCCTAATGTGTAGGAACCTATCTTTCCAAGTAGACTGTGAACTCTCATAGGGCAGCACAGAAAAAGTCCAGTTAGTTTTTTACACTACACTTTCTTCTACCACAGTGTTTTGCCTATGTTTGTTGAGTGATTGGCTAGTGACTGACTGGAGCAAAGTTATCCATGAGGATTTAATCTGTAAACAATCAGGCTTGTATAAATGATCCCAGTGGCTTTCTTCCATGGTAATAAAAGATATTGGAGAGAGGAGCAAAAAGATCCGCCTGTAACCCCATTATCTTAGTAAATATGGATTTTAAAAAAGGCACTGGAGTGGGGAACAAAAAGATCCTCCTGTAGCCCTACTGTCACAGTAAGTAGTTTTCTTACTTGGTATTTCCAGGGAAATGTTCAAAAGCATTCTTACTGGTATTAAAAACTGCAGGGCAGCTGATGCTGTGTTTCTCACACTACTCAGACAGTCCTTTTGCCTTAGCTTATTCATCCTTAAGGGGAGGAAAATACCATACCCATTAAATACGGCCACTCTGTTGTCAGACAGCTATAATATAAGCACAGGACACTATCAGGTTAAAAAAATAACAAAGATTGTGATATTCAGGGCTAATGTCATAATATGCTCCTTGAATTATGTCCTCCAAGTATATGCATTATAAATCCTAACCTCCATTCTGGTGGTTATGATTCCATTTGGGACTGGATTGTAGTTGTTAGAGTGAGGAGGCAAGGTCCAACCTCTCTGCCATTGAGTAGATTCTAACTCAGTGTGACGCTATACTATTGAGTAAAACTGTTCTGTGGGTTTCTGAAACTTACTCTTTATGGGGTTAGAAAGCCTTGTCTGTCTCCCACTGTGTGCCTGGAAGTTTCGAACTACTGACCTTGTGGTTAGCAGCCTGACATTTAACCACTATGCCACCAGGGCTCCTTGAGGATGGCACATAAAGATCAAAT